CCCCTACGGCCCGTCGCGCCCCTACGGCCCCCTCGAGCCCCCGTCGCGCTCCTACGGCCCAGCGCCCCTACGGCCCTCTCACGCCCTTACGGCCCTCTCACGCCCCCTACGGCCCCCTCGCGCCCTTACGGCCCTCTCGCGCCCTTACGGCCCCCTCGCGCCCCTACGTCCCCCTCGCACCCCTAACGGCCCCTCGCGCCCCTACGGCCCAGCGCGCCCCTACCCCCCCCCCCCCCTCTCGTGCCCCTACCAGCCCCTCGCGCCCCTACGGCCCCCCTCGCACCCCTACCGGCCCCTCGCGCCCCCTACCGGCCCCTCGCGCCCCTGCCGGCCCCTCGCGCTCCTAGCCGGCCCCTAGCCGGCCCCTAGCCGGCCCTAGCCAGCCCGTAGCCGGCCCCCTAGCCGGCCCCCACCAGCCCCCTGCGCCCCTGCCGGCCCCTCGCGCCCTAGCCAGCCCCTGGCGCCTCTATCGGCCGCTCCTTCCGCCCGAGCTCGCTGAGCCGCCGAGCTGCCGAGCTGCCGAGCCGCCGTGACTTCGAGCTGTCGAGCCGCCGAGCCGCTGTGGCACTGTGCCGCAAAGACGCTGTGCCGGTGTCCCACTGTGTGATGGCGAACGCCGTTCTTCGCTTAGATGCTGAAGGGCACGCGATTGACTTAGCCGCCTGGCTCGCCGACCTCCGCCGGCACCTGACAGATCAGCGCCTGGATGGGCACTCCCTAGCTATGAATGTTGATGACTTGCTCCACCACCCCCCTGGGCCTGATCCCCTACCTGTTGAACCTACCACTGCTGAGAGTGAGGCCTTTGCTGCTGCTGCACTCGCTCGCGCTGTCTTGGATTCTCGCGATGCTGTAGCGCAGCTTGCCATTAGCCATGCTCTCCCCCTGTCTGAGCGTTCGCGCTTCACCGCTGTCGCGAACACCAAGGACTTTCTCGTTGCAGTAGTTGAGCGTTACTCCACACCTGTTTCCACCACTGCTGGCCGCTTGATCCTACCCATGCTCTCCCTGATCTTTCCACTTTCCCCACGGTAGCTAACCTCACTACTCACCTCCATGCACTAGAGACCAGCTACCGCGCAGCTAGCTCTGCCACCCAGCTTATTGCCTTTCCCCCACCTTTCTGGGCTACCCTGTACCTCATCGCCAAGCGCCTGGCTGGCCGCTTAGCCACTGCCCGCGACCACTTCCTTAGGTAGCACCCTGCCGACCTCACCCTGACCGCCTTTGTCACTACTCTATCTGAGATAGAGACTCGCCAGTGCACTATCGCTCAGTCGAGCGGTGTTGTGGCAGTCCCTATCTTTCAGGGCTGTGCTCCCTCCAAGTGCACGTACGCTGACGTCTCCGCCGCAGTTGCCACGACTACGCCTGCACCCGAGACAGCAGCTGCGGCTTACCCGCAGCAGCGTCAGCGAGGGGGCCGCCGTGGCCACAAGGGAGGACGAGGAGGTGGCGCTAGTGCTGGTGGTGGCGGGGACAATGGTTCTGAAGAGGGGGTTGGTGCTGGTGCCCAGGAGCAGCAACAGTTGCCGAAGTTCCAGTCGCAGCACTCGCAGCAGCAGCAGCAGCAGCAGCAGCAGCCATCACAGCTGCAGCAGCAGCAGCAGCAGCCGTGGGCTCGCCTCCCGCCGGGGTGGCCAGGAGCCCCTGGTGGTGGTGGTTGTGGTGGTGGCCCTCGCAGCTCGGTGTCCACCGGCAGCTTTGGTGCTGTGAGTTGCCAGTACCAGCTTCAGACCGAGCCCCTCCGTGGCACGGTGTGCCGCCGCCCGCACCAAACTGCCCGCTGCTTCCGCCGCCTCGATGACCTCTTCCGTCGCCGCTTTGGCAGACGATGCCGTTGTGGCAGGCCGTTGTGGCAGACGATGGGGGAGGCCTTCCTTCAACAGCGTGGGGGAGGCCGTCGATGGGGCAGACAGTGTAGTCATTCTGCCAAGACATTGGTCAAAGCTTTTGCTCATTGGGCAGGAGTAACGCATCCTTTTCGAAGACCTTGCTTTTATCGAGCTGTGAAACACTTCAACTAACAAATGACCGAGCCATTGATGCCATATTTATGCACGTGCCCTATGTCCCTTTGAGCGCATGTACGGGCCGAATTGACGAAAAAAGCAGGCGTGACATGGATCGAAGAGATGGGATTGGCATCAGCAGTGGCTGGGAGAGTCGGGGTGAAGCTTGCCTCCTCGACAGTTTCGATCCAGGGAATTCCTCCGACACGATGGCGAGTAGAAGCATTGAAGATGATACAATGACTCACTCCCCAGTTGGTTATATCTTCGTCTGGTTTGTCGATTCGTGGTGCGATATGTTCGTAGTCATCAGAAGGATCCCATGCGCGACCATTCCCCCAAGCTCTTATGGCTGACGCCCTAATTCCATCCTCTGCTGCCACTTCCCATCCCGCTCCCGATGCTGCTCCCCATCCTATCATAGCTTGTGCTGGTTCGGGAGCCACCTAGAACACTTCAGGCTTAGGGACAGGCGATGATGTGCGGAACGGCTGAGTCATCGGTGATCAAAGGTCTCGAGGTCTGTCTCATTGTAGTGGTGCCACAAGGCAAGGGAGACGACGCATTGACTGTCGCCGCAAGAAGTCTCGGGTGAGAAACAAAGATCTGAGATTCCGTCTCTTGTTTCAGCACGGCCGATTAAGTTGCTTCTATCCTACTTCTTTCCACCCATGTAGAGCGCGGTAATCATCCGGTCGGCGTCGTTGATGAAGTGTATTCTGGCTTCCACCAGCTGCCCTTAGGAGAGGAGGTTGAAGCCAATTTTGTCGACAACGAGCACTTTGTTTAAAATTTATGAAATGTCCATGTCATCTGATTCAAGTAAAGCCTTCCCCAGTGCATTCATAATTGTTGGTTGTTGGTGAATGTAATTGTGTACATGTCAGATTCTAGAAATACTATCTAGTTGAGAAGATACAATAAAGAAGAAGCCATGTGGTGCCCAAAGCAGCTGTCAAGGAACCACATATTTGAAAGAATTTGACGAGTGGTGAACGAGACTAAGTATAGAGTCTGTAGACACAAGTACTTGAAGTAGAAAGTAATACTGGAAGTACCTCCAGTAATAGCCAGTATTAACAAGTTGTAACACCAGAGTCAGTATTTCAGTCTTGTGATACTTCAAGACTTAACCAAGGATCTTTGCTGGAATGGTAGACTAGTAAGACAACGGAAGTCTTAGAACTTTTAAGTGTTGACCAGAACTTACTGAAGAACAAGTTAACAACTGAAGTTGTACAAACTACTTTTATATCTGTTAGAAGTACCTATTCGGTAATGTACTTGTTCAAAACTATTTGCACTATGCACTCTAACCGCTACTGAAAAGAGCGCGACTGTTCGCGTGACTGAAACGGTCTACTGACGTAACCATCCAGACGAGAGCTATTTGCTGACGTCATTCTACGGATGCTAACTACACTGTAACTCGACAATATCTATCGGAACTACTTACAGAAATGCTTAAGGACAATTTTGTCACAACACTCCCCTTCATTTCTGGAAGTCCGATAGAGTCACTTTTTGATAATTCCACATAGTTCGTTGCAGTACTGGAACTTCTGACGTGTCAGCTTCTTGGTGAGAAAATCTGCAGCCATTTCATTGGTCGAACAGTAGACCAATCGCATTCTCCCCTTCTCGACTTCATCTTTGACGAAGAAGTACCGCATCGAAATGTGTTTCGTCCTGTTGGCGAAACCAGGTTGATGCGCTGTTCTGATTGCACTTTGGTTGTCGCACTGCAGGGTGAACTGTGTACTTGTCGGCAATTTTGCTCCCTCCAGTAGCTCTTGCACGTAGAGACCTTCGCGAGTAGCTGTGCAGGCAGTTATAAACTCGCCACGAGCTCTTGCTTTGTAGCATTCCACGAGATAGTCCCAATAGGTTCGAGACGATAGATGAAGCCGGTGCAAGATCGACGATTAGAAGTATCTGCTGCATGATCACCATCGATGTACCCGTTAAGATATAAAGTTTTCGTGGTAGTGACTTGGTAGGTAAGTCCAACTTCTGGTGTCGAAATAAAATACTGTAGAGCACGAAGAAGATCTAGCCGATTCTCCTCCTCAGGTCGACGCAGAAATTGCGCGAGCTGGCTAGCGGCATAGGCGAGATCCGGACGACACATTACAGCTACGAATAGAAGACAACCCAGTTGCTGCAGATAAAGCTGTAGTTCAGTGTTTTCGAGTGGAGTAGTATCAGGTTTGTAGTCTGACAGTAAAGATCGGTAAGGAGTGGTTACAGTTGAAGTCTGAAGTCGGTAGGCCGCGATACAGAGGAGAATCCGGACACTAGTTTGTTTGCCGACGGGAGCGAAAGTTAATTCGTAGTCGAGTCCAAAAGTTTGCTCGAAGCCGCGGACGACCCATCGCGCCTTGAATTTTTCAAAGGAACCATCGGTGTTTGCCTTCACGCAGAAAACCCATTTTTCGGTAAGAACCTTACTCTCCTTTGCTGATTTCAATGGGATTAGATCCCACGTACCTCTCTTTTCCAGAGCTGCTAACTCTTGGTCCATGGCTTCGCGTCATTTTTCTCGGTGTTGACTTGTCAAAGCTTGATGAACTGTTTTCAGCTCCAAAATATTACTTCTATTTGCCTGTACTGCGATTCCAAGTCCCAATACTTGTGAACCAGTTTCTGTAAAACGTGGACGATTTGAGTTGACACCGGAGAAGTTGTGTTCTGACCCCTGTTCCCACCCAACTTCTTCAGGTGTAACATGTGTTGCTTAGAGAAGGCTATAAGCAGATGATTCAATGGCTCCTTGGAAATTTCTGCAGCACTTCGTTATGACGCCCAGAAAACTCGCGACCTTCGAAAAGCTATATCCAAAACTCCAATCGATGAAACGATCTGAAAATCCGATATGTTGTAGCTTGCAGCGTCAGCTTTCCTCTGAAAGTTGAATCACTCGATTCCATAGCTTAACGAGCGAGCTATGGCGTTTGGCGCACTGGGGGGTAATCTGCCCTAGGAGAAGTTGACAATCCTCAGAGTCACAATAATTGAAGCTTACAAGTTCAGAGGCATGATAGAAAAGGCATTGAAGCACAGTTGGAAGGTAGGGATGGAAGGGAAGGATGAAAGGGAAGGACCCTGGAGGCCCATGGTCAAGAACATGACAAGAGTCAAAGTCTTGACTCCCCATCCTCAGGTTCAGCCAGCCTGGCAAGACAAAATTCACACTGTACCAGGTTGGCCTCCAAACCCCAAATGCTGCAGCTGCAGGGTGGGGACAAAAGTCCCACACATGCTGGTCCCTCCTCGTTATAGGGCTCTCCAACTTTGGTGTAGCAGCTGACAAGGACTTCCAATGAGTTGTAACAAATCCATCAAACATTTCTTCGTAACTTCTTCATATGTGCTCCGATTCCAACAATTCTTGGCTCGTTGGAATGTGCTCGATGTCATGCACAATCCAAGCACATCTGCACAAGCACAAGACGAACATGCAAAGACATGCAAACCCAACAAACCATACAAACAATGTAGCACACAAAACAGATGCAACGAAATGATGCGAACAGACGACAGGATGACGTGCAAACGAATATGCACCAACACACTCCCCCTCAGACTGTCGGCTTGTTTCGCCGTCTCTAGTTCAAGGACATTCCCGCCATCCTCGCACAGCGCCAGTGTGGCTCTTCAGCTAGCCGCTTGGTAAGGAAGTCGGCTGGCTGTTGCTGAGTTTTCACGTAGATCGGATCCAGTGTCCCAAGCTTCACCTCCTTCCACAGCCAATGCCACTTGATCCTCATGTGCTTGTTCAACCCATGAAGAACTGCATTGCGTGCCATGGCAATGGCTGCCTTGCTGTCACTGAACAGAGGTGTCGCACAAGTCTGTTCATGGCCGATCTCCTTCAAGAGCCTCCTTAGCCAAATGATTTCTTTTGCCGCATGAAACATTGCCATGTACTCAGATTCCACTGAAGATAGTGCCGTTTCAGACTGCTTCTTGGACCTCCAACTTACAGGCCCACCTCCCACCATGCAGATGTATCCACCAACTGATGATGAATCCTCATGCTCAGAAGCCCACGTGGCATCAGCAAAACAGGAAAGGAACACCTTTCCTTCTCCGAGCTGCTCCCCCTTCTCTTGAAGGACTTCAACTCCTTTTTGCCTGAGTTGAGCAGAGGCTGAATACTGTACTCCCACTGTAGGGTATGACTTGAGGTAGCGCACCACTCTCTCCGCTGCACCACACTGCTCTTCTGTTGGATTTTGCACTACTCGAGCCAGCTGTCCCACAGCAAAGCTGATGTCAGGCCGAGTATGCACAGCAGCGTAGAGTAGGCTCCCGACCATGGATTGGAATTGCCTCTGGTCTTCACTCTCAACTCCTTCTCCTTCAGCTGCCTTTATGAGTTTGAACTCGGAAGGCAAAGGTGTGACCACTTCCCGTTCTTCCTGCAGAGAGTACTTCTCAGCCAAGGTATTGATGTACTGTCCCTGATGCAGCTTGAGCCAGCCACGTTCAGTATCCCGCTCAATGTGCATTCCCAGGTAGTACCTTGCCTTTCCAAGTGACTTGCACTTGAACTGCTCTGTGAGCTTCCGCTGCACCCCATCGATCTCCTTGTCACTGCTGCTGAAGAGCAGGATGTCATCCACGTACACCAGCAGAAGCACAAGCGACTCCCCCTCGCCCATCAGGAATAGGCTCTCGTCGCATGCACTCGCACGGAATCCAATCCCTTCCAGTGCACTGGCCAGCCTGTTGTACCAGCATCTCGGGGCCTGTTTCAAGCCATAGATGGCCTTGTTAAGTTTGCAGACACGACCGGTTCCATCCTCATAGCCAGGTGGTTGAACCATGTACACCTCCTCTTCCACAATGCCGTACAGAAAAGCGGTTACGATGTCCATCTGCTTCACCTTCCATTTGCGCACAGCAGCTACCGCCAGCAGCACACGCAGCGTTGGAGACTTAGCAGTTGGGGCAAACACTTCTTTGTAATCTTCTTTCTCTTTCTGCTGAAACCCCTTTGCCACCAGCCTGCTCTTGTAAACTGATGGCTCTCCTTTCTCATCCGTCTTGATTTTTGCCAGCCACTTGCACTGTATTGCCTTCTTCCCATTTGGCAAGTACACCAGGTCCCATGTGTGATTCTCCATCTGGCTGTTGTACTCTGCATCTCTTGAAACGAGCCACTTCCCCCGTTGAGGCTCGGCTAGCGCATGATCCATGCTCGGAGGTTGTATTGGTGCGTAAAAGCAGTATGCAGGCTCCTCGTCATCTGACTCTTGGTCATCACCCAAGAACAGCACTGCATCTTCGCCTTGAGCCTGTTCCTGCTGCTCAGTTGTGGCTCCTCCACTTGTAGAGCTCAGCAGCTTTCTCGTTGCCATTCTGGTACGTGCAGGGTAGATGGTTGGATTTACCCATTCTTTCACCTTCACCCAATCCTTTGTCCCCCCACCAATCTGTTTCCTTCGCTTTGGCAGACTTGGTGTTTTGGAAGCCTCTTGCTGCTGCTGCTCCGGATCCTTGACTTCAGCATCAGCTGCAATATCCTCATTGCTTCCTTCATCAGTACCGCTTGCCGTTGGCGCAGTGACTTCGCTGTCCTCAGGTTCGGACAAATCGAAGTGCATAGTGATCTCTTCCAGCTGCTGGGTGACCCTTGCCTCCGGCTGCTTCTCCCACTTGCCATACATGATGTTCTCCACAAATTTGACATCCCGACTGTCAAACAGCACATTCTTCGAGGGCTCCCGGAGTAGCCACCCCTTGCTCTCTGCCGCAAGTCCAAGGTGCACACACCACAGTGCAGATGCTCCAAGCTTTGTCCTGTACGGTTTAGGGACATGCGCCACTGCCATGCATCCGAACACTCTGAGCATGTCCACTGGAGGCTTCTTTCCAAGCCACCTCTCCAGCGGCACCCACATATCATCAGCCACCTTTGTGAGTACGCGGTTCCTTGCCACTGTAGCATGCCTCACCGCATGAGGCCACATGGAGTTCCCCAGCCCTGATTCGATCAGCAGCGCTCGCGCAGTTTCCAGGATGGTCCTATTAGCCCTCTCAGCAACGCCATTTGACTGAGGGGTATAGGACGTCGTTAGCTGATGCTCAATGCCTTGTTTCTTGAGCCACGCAGTCAGATCTCCTCCTAGAAACTCTCCACCTCGGTCGGTTCTGATGCTCTTGCATGGGTGCCCAGATTGTCGCTCGACGAACGGCAGCCAGTCATCTCGTATTGTTGAGGCAGCATGATCCTTCTGCTTCAACGGGTATGCCCACATCAGCCGACTCCAGTCATCAACTATTGTCAGGAAGTACCTTTCCCCCTTACTTCCTCGAAATGGAAAAGGTCCTACCAGGTCCATATGCACCAGTTCCAGTGCTGCCTTGCTTTTCCCAGCTATGTCGTAAAAGGGGAACCGTGTGAACTTGCTCAGCAGACACGTCACGCACTTGGTATCATTTGGTTGCCCAGAAAGCTTCAGCCCCTTTACTGCTTCTTCCTTATGCAGTTGCTGCAGCAATGGCATAGCCACATGCCCTAGACGCCTGTGTGCGGTTTCCCAATCAGTCTCCCCCGACCTTGCAGAAACCGTCACTCCTGCAGCACTAACTGCATTGCACTCCCCCTGGACTCCAGATCCAGCCTTTACTTCTCCCAATTCCTTCTTTGTTGATTCCCATATCAGTGCAGGGATCTGCCACATGGATCTGAAGACATCTCTGCTTTCGTGTAAATCCCATAACACACGATCTCCTCGCAGCCCCTTGAATGTTTTGGATCCATTGGTGGTGGTGCTGACTCCGGCCTGGCCTAGCTTGCGCAGCGATATCAGATTGGCCTTCAGCCCCGGTACGAGTAACACGTCCTTAAGCACGACCAGTCCACCATCAGGTGCTCTGAATGCAGCTCGACCAACTCCAGCGACCTTCACTGCATGTCCGGATGCTGAGCGCACTTCGGAGATTGGAGGCGCTCGCACAGCATCCAGCAAGTCCTTGCGTGGTGTCATTGTCCATGCAGCACCAGAGTCCATGACCCACATATCAAGCGGGTGCAGTTCCTCTCCAGCCCTTGCAACAGCTGTGCCACTGTCATCTTTGTCACACACATGGTAGAACTGTCCAGCATTCCTCTCCTCACTTCCCATTCCTCTGTCATCCTTGGAGGTTTCTTCAGCAGGATCAGCTACCATGTTGGCACCTCCATGTGGTTGCTTTCCTCCATTCCCCTTTTGCGATTGGTTCCAAGGGGTCCACCAGTCAGGCTTGGTAGAGCAGCGAAACCATGGATGCCCTTCTTCCTTGCAATACCAGCACTCTCCCCTCAAGCGTGGTTCACTGTTGTCATTGTTGGAGTGACCACCTCTTCCTCTTGCACCAGCGCCACCACGCCCCCGCTGGTTCCAAGTCCCGCGACCACCTTGGTTGTAGTAGGAGCGACCGCGATTGCCACGCCCTTGATCCCTCCATGTCCCTTGCATGGCATAGCCGCTGGTGCTGTCATCACCTCCGCGCAGTGTATAGCGACGAAAATCTTCTTCCAGAATCTTGGTGCGAATCCAGTCCAATGTCCATTGACTTTGGTTTTGTGGCAAGCTGAGTCCGCTTATAAATTGCAGCCAAGACTCGGGCACCAGGCTGAGCATCTTGAGACACTTAGTCTGCTCAGGATACGTGATGCCTGCAATCGCCAATTTCGCGTAGAGTTCCCTCATCTTGTCCAGTACGGGCTGCACAGGTTCATTCTCGCTCAACCGCAGCATGGACAGCTCCCCATCCAGCATGAGAGAAGCCGCAACCGATGTCGGAGCGTGCAGGTCCTTGAGCACTGCCCATGCCTTGGGCCCACAATCAATTTCCGGTAGCAGATGCATGATGTGATGCCTCTGGTTCAGCTCCAAGCTGTGTGACAGTAGATAATACCCAGCAGATGAACGTTCATCCCAGTCCGCTTGCTCTGCCATTTCCTTTGGCCTTGGCTCCGTTCCAATCATGAGCTTCAAGAGGCCAATTTGTCGAAAGTAGAGCTGCATCTTCCATGCCCAATCGTCATAGCCATCTCCAGAGAACTTCTCAATGGTGAAGCTCTTCAGCACCTCCTTAAGCAGTGACCCCTGGCTTCTATGCGCTCCTCTTTGCGCTGCAATGCCAGAATCTTGGGTTGAGCTGCCTCCTTGGACTGAAGTATCACCTCCACCAGAGTCCTCCTTATCTCCCATCGTATTTTAGGTCCCAAATGCGTGATAATGGGCTCTGATACCACTTGTTGGTTAGAGAAGGCTATAAGCAGATGATTCAATGGCTCCTTGGAAATTTCTGCAGCACTTCGTTATGACGCCCAGAAAACTCGCGACCTTCGAAAAGCTATATCCAAAACTCCAATCTTTTAAACGATCTGAAAATCAGATATGTTGTAGCTTGCGGCGTCAGCTTTCCTCTGAAAGTTGAATTACTCAATTCCGTAGCTTAACGAGCGAGCTATGGCGTTTGACGCACTGGGGGGTAATCTGCCCTAGGAGAAGTTGACAATCCTCAGAGTCACTATAATTGAAGCTTACAAGTTCAGAGGCATGATAGAAAATGCATTGAAGCACAGTTGGAAGATAGGGATGGAAGGGAAGGATGAAAGGGAAGGACCCTGGAGGCCCATGGTCAAGAACATGACAAGAGTCAAAGTCTTGACTCCCCATCCTCAGGTTCAGCCAGCCTGGCAAGACAAAATTCACACTGTACCAGGTTGGCCTCCAAACCCCAAATGCTGCAGCTGCAGGGTGGGGACAAAAGTCCCACACATGCTGGTCCCTCCTCGTTATAGGGCTCTCCAACTTTGGTGTAGCAGCTGACAAGGACTTCCAATGAGTTGTAACAAATCCATCAAACATTTCCTCGTAACTTCTTCATATGTGCTCCGATTCCAACAATTCTTGGCTCGTTGGAATGTGCTCGATGTCATGCACAAACCAAGCACATCTGCACAAGCACAAGACGAACATGCAAAGACATGCAAACCCAACAAACCATACAAACAATGTAGCACACAAAACAGATGCAACGAAATGATGCGAACAGACGACAGGATGACGTGCAAACGAATATGCACCAAGAACATGGATTGCTGCTTCGGAGACAACTGGCATGGGCTGTTGCTGACGATCACGTTCGTAATCAAGAACCACATCGTGAACATCGTCAGAGTCTGCTTCGCTGAGTGGGATAAACTCGGCAGTTCCAGCTGAGGTGGTTGGCGAGGGGATGTCTGTGGCAGCTTTGGAAGACTCAGCCACTGATTCATCCTGTACATCTGCTTCGGCGTCGTCGGAAGCGAAAGCCCGCGATCCTTCAAACAACCTGGCAGGATTGGAAGCTGCAGCCTGATGAGCACGAAAAACAGGTAATGTGAGTCGTTCTTAGAAAAGACAATCACGTGTTGGTACGATTTGACTTGTGCGAAGATCCATAATTTTCCACGCGTAAAACTGCTTCTCAATGCCAAGATGTATCCCCCACTTTGCCCTTTCTGAAAATTTTCCAAGTGCTGCTGTCCGAGGTCGGAATTGTACGATGCACCCAAAAACTCTTAAAAATCTGGTGTTGCCAACTGTTTTTGTCCACTGCAGGTGTGGCAAAGAAAATTGCGGAAGTGAAGTTGTCGACAGCAAGTTGTGCAGAAGAACTGCATGGTCCAAAGCGTAAGTCCAAAAATGTGTTGGCAATGCTACCTGAGTCAGCAAGACTCGCATTTTTTCTTGTAATGTCCAGTTCATCCTGTCCGCTACCCCTACCTGTTAATGTTGATATGGCAGAGGCCCTCTGCGCTTGATGCCTAGGGTTTGAAGGTAGTCATTGAAGTTTGTGTTTATGTTCTCCCCTGCTCTGTCACTCTGAAACTCTTGTAGCCTCTTCCCCAATTCTCTTTCAGCCACCGCAAGCCACGCGACGAAGATAGACTGAGCCATATGACGAGCCAGAATATTTGCGGTCCAAATATATCGAGTAGAAGCCTCGATGAAAGAGATCATATACAGTATAGCTCCCCCTAAGGTCCTGCTTCAGGTAAGTTGAGATGTCGCTGTAAACTTTCTGCATAAGTGTGTATCGAGTTGTTCCTGGAAAGTGACTTGGAAAGGGTTCAGGAGGAAGATTAGCAGTTGTGCACGTTGTGCAGACTACTGGTCTTGAATACGATTTCATCTCAGTTCCATCCAGTAACTGTTCTTGTCAAGAACTGAAGCTCGTATAGTATGATTAAGAATTCCCGGTGAAGGATGACCTAACCCTTGATGCCAAATATCCTCTGTTGCTTTGTGTCCTGTTGATCGCAGATAAAAATCGGCGTAAGTATAAAATGAAGAAAAGTTAAAACGAGAAAACGCTGGTGATTCGTCGAGTTGGCCAGGAACGAAGCGGGTACGAGGTAACTTTGTGGTGGTAATTTCCACGTCAAGAACTTCTCCTGGTTGAAGAACTAATTCTCCTTCCTCGATTTCTGTTTTTGTTGAAACTGCCGCAAGTTGACCGACGAGAACCCGTCTGCTTCACTGCTATTTTGCTGCTCTGCTTCTTCTGCTTCACTGCTGCTGCTGGGTGTAAGAAATAGAGTTGAAATGATTAATTAGGTAAGGAGCCCAAGGCTCTATAAGTACATGGCAAGGTGAGAGAGAATGGATGAAGGGGGAATTGGAGGGAATCCCCATTGGGATCTCCTGAATCTCAAATTGGGTAATTGGAGATTGTGGGGATCACAATTGGGTGAGGTTGGGATTTGTGAGTACACCCCAATCCACTAGAACATTCACAACCTAAACTAGGATATAAAAAAACAAATACAAAAGTGGTATTTGCAGTCTATTTCTAACACACCCCCATAGAGTGCAAACCCGGTCAAGGAGCACATAGCCGCATGGAACGGAGAAGGCGATGGTGGTCAGCCTTGCCGAGAGCCTTGGTAAAGAGGTCGGCGAGGTTGCAATCTGAGGCGATGTACCGTACCGTCAGCTGGTCACTCTGAACAAGATCTCGGATGAAGAAATGACAAAGTTCGATGTGCTTGGTGCGAGAGTGGAACACAGGATCCTTGGTGAGGTGAATGGCACTCTGGTTGTCACACCACAGGGTGGGCGACTGCTGGGGGTAGCCTAACTCAGCGAGGAGAAAGGAGAGCCAGCGTGCCTCTTGAGCAGCCATTGTGCCCGCGTAGAGCTCGGCCTCGCAGGACGACAGGGAGACTGCAGAGGACCGAGTGGAGCGCCAGCTGATGACTCCGCTACCAAGGGTGAAGCAGTACCCTTGGGAGGAGAGTCTGTCAGTCTGGTCATCGGCCCATGAGGAGTCTGTGTATCCCTCGAGCTTGACTGGAGAGGTACCACCAAGAGTGAGGATGTGAGACTTGGTGGCTTGTAGATAGCGGAGGACCCTCTTGGCTGCAGACCAATGCGAGGCGGTGTAGCGTCCGGGGGAGACATACCGAGAAAGGACACTAACCGGGTAAGCCAAGTCTGGTCGAGTGCACATCATGGCATACATGAGTGAACCGACTAGCGCAGGGTACGGGTCCTTGCAGGCGTCAGGAGAAGGAACTGGAGGGGCCGTGAGCTGATGCTGTAGTGGGAGTGGAGTGGAGACAGAGTTACTGGAGTCCATGTCGAACCGCTTGAGAAGGTTGTCGATGTAGGACTCCTGGGAGAGCGTGATCGTGCAAGCCTGGCGGTCACGAGTGATCTCCATCAACAGGTAGTTCTTGAGGTCACCAAGATCCTTCATGAGAAGGGCGGAGCTGAGAGCAGACTGGACAGCTGCCATGTCGGCTGGATCTCTGGCGGCTAGAATGAAGTCGTCGACGTAGACGAGGATGTAGAAGGGCTCGGAGGAGTGACACACAAAGAGACTGGAATCTGAGGCAGAGGGATGGAAGTCAAGTGCGAGGAGGACTTCCTTCACCTTGTTGTGCCACTCACGAGGAGCCTGCTTGAGGCCATACACTGGGCGCTTCAGCTTCCACACTGTGTTGGCAGGGTAAGTGCCAGGAAACCCCGGTGGGCGTTCCATCTGAACATCCTCCTTGAGCTGGCCTTGGAGAAAGGCGGAGGAGGCGTCCATGGACTTGATCTCGAAGTTGCCGCGAGCGGCTATATCAAGAAGAGCGCGCACAGTCGGGAGATTGGCCGTGGGCGAGAAGGTTTCGAAGAAGTCGAGAAACTCCTTCTGGGTGAAACCCTTCGCCACGTATCGTGCCTTGAACAGTGGAGCTTCGCCTGGGAGTTGTTTGACTCGGAAGATCCATTTTCCGCCGACGATGTTGACACCGGAAGGGGGAACGACATCGTCAAAGCTGTTGTTGCGAATGAATGCCTCGTTCTCCACATCCATTGCTGCCTTCCACTCCTTCTTATAAGGCCCCGAGAGAGCTTCCTCTTTTGTGCGAGGAGTCGGAATGGTCGGGTTCTCGGTGAAGTTGAGGGAAGGGCAGTCAGTAATGTCCGGGAAGATGTGAGAGAGAAATTGGCAGACCGCGTGAAGGTCAAACAGCTCCTCATGTCCTCCAGAAGTGCACGGGGGTGAATACGGATGGAGGGGACATCACCCCCGGCAGGAGGAGGCGGGGTGACCGAACACCGGATGGAGAAGGCGGCTGGTCCCCAGGCGAGAGGCGGAGCCGGTCCCTTGGAACGAGTGCGACTAGAGACCGAAACGATGGCGGCTGCGGTGGGACCGGAGGGACTGGGCGCCTCCGATAGGAGACTGGTGAGCCGGGCTCGACGCGCGGGGAAGGCGGAGCAGGAGGAGGTGCCGCTGCGGAGGATACTGGGGAGGCCGGGTGAGACACGCCGGACGGAGAAGGTCCCGAAGAAGGGGCAGCGGCCGGAGGTGGGGCATCAAAGTCTGCCCAAACAAGCGTCGGGGGAGGTGGAGGAGGCTCGCCCATGGTCGCAGAGTGGAATGGGCGTGTCTCATCGAAGACGACATCACGGCGCGAATCAGCTGTCTGGTGATTGGGTTGAGGAATAAGTAGTCTGGGGAGTCGGAGTTGTGCCCCAGGTACATGCAGGTCTGGGTTTTGGGACCAAGCTTGCCACCTTGCTTCCTGCGCGTGTGGGGGCTTAGCAACACATACGCGGTACACCCCCAGACGCGTAGAGAGCGGGCGGAAGGCGTAACCCCAAGCCAGAGAGCGGTAGGTGTGGTGTCGGGCCGGTGGGGATGCGGATAAAGATTGTAGAGGAGTGCCGCATGGAAGAGGGCATATCCCCAGAGTGACCGCGGTGCGTTGGCGTGACTGAGGAGGCAGCGAGCGATCTGAACCAAGGTGTGGTTGCGGCTCTCTGCAATGCCGTTCTGCTGCGGGCTTTCAGGGAGCGTGAAGGTTTG